CCGTTTTCCTCCTTTGTGGCGGCTATGGGTGTCAAGCTGCTGGCGTTGCAACTAATAGCCCAGTGCATGACCAACCGCTAAGACACCAGGGCCCTTCTTGAGCGCAATAGCTACTTTGAAAACAATTCAACCACTAGATGTCACTGTAGTTCAAATTACAAAGTTTGTCTTGCATTTCAAATGCTTCCAACTATCAACTTTCAGTATGGGCTAACTTACATTCTTAACTTTGATCACTAAAGAATACCTAACATAAGCACTTGTGTTGTTAAACCTTTGGGCTTTTTGTATATTAAGTCCAGTTAGGGTAAAAAAAGGGTTTTCCATTTGACTCTCAGGAAAACGCAAACCAAAATCATTAGACTCGTGTAACTTACTCTTTAATGTGAGGTATTTCAGAGAGAAGCCATGCCGTTTTCATGTCACCAGATGATTTTCTTACGACGTGGTTTCTTTTTCTGTGTCCTATAGATCCGTTCTTTCTGATGCTAGCCAGCTCATGCTGTAAAGGATGTAACCTTTGCTTTGTTGCCCCTTGTTAAACCCTTCTACTCAGGTCCAGCCTGGAGAAGGAGGCAAAGTTGCCTTCAGCGACATGAGAGCCTTGTCTGGAGGGGAGCGGTCTTTTTCCACGGTGTGCTTCATCCTTTCTCTGTGGTCCATTGCAGAGTCTCCTTTCAGATGCCTGGACGAATTTGATGTCTACATGGTATTGTTAGATTTTTTTCTTGTTGTTTCTTTGTTTTGTTTAAAATGTGCCTTTTGAGAGGAAGCAGTCCTTTGTTTAGCTTTACCTGTAATAAAAGAACCTGCCCTGAACTTTGTAAGTGGCATAGACGAACAGGACTGTTCCTGTTCTCGCCGGCACTGCCCCGCAGCCTCTCCCCTAGTTTTTCCCATCAATATATAACATGCTCGTCTCCTCCGTTTGTTTTAACACAGAATGGTAGCCAGTTCACTGGCCATCTTTTGACTAGCTCTCGCTCCTGTTCATTCTCTCGCTTCAGAGAAGCAGTGTGGGGACCGTCCCCAGAACTTCAGACCTAGTTCTGTTACCCACTCCCCAGATGACTGTAGGCAGCATTGACCTTTCCCGGATCTCAGGGGTTTTTAACTGTAATGCAAGAGGACTCTGTTACCTGCCTCATAAGGACATCGTGAGGCCTGGACAAGCTCTTGGCTGCCTTGTTCTTGCTAAAGGACAGGCCTGTAGCACTTACAAACGACTGTCCGCCCGCTTCTTCACTGCCCAGTTAAGACCCCAGCGAAACATCATTCGCTAAGATTCGCTAAGATCAGAACTAAATTTTCCATCCTTTAAAATGTGTCCACTTGCCAGTGCCCATGCCCCGTTCTAGTCTTCGGCTTTTGGCTCTCTTATCTGCCAAGTTGCTGCCTCGAATTCCGTTGCCCGGGATACCACGGGTGCTTAAAACCTTGGTGGAAAATTCCATGATCCTTTTTTTTTAATGTTCTTAAGGAATAATTTTAATATAATAATTATAAACGCCTTCGGTATAATAATGATATTGTGATGTGTGTGCATGATATATACATGTGATAATTATGCATATCAGCTTCAAAATATTCATGGAGAAATTCCATCATGTATTTTTTAATGCGATTATATCTCTTTAACCGTGTCATCAACATAAATTCACACACCAGATTTCAAGCATTCACATTCATATAGCCATTACCACTCTCTATTCTGGGAGGTGTGTCTTTTTCCTGGTACTCGTTGTTAACTCTCCATTTCTTGCCACCTCCCCAGTCATGTCCCTTTGAAACTTTTCATCCAGTTACTGTCTCTAGGGTTACCTGTCCTGGGTTCCATATACAGAAACATAGGCAAAATTAAAACGCAAGCGCCCTAACAACAGTGACAGAATGGAACAGGCCAAAAAGGTAGAAAATAGAAAAACCCATACAATTATACGTTGGATCAAGAGGGAGATCAAATGACAAGGTGTCACTTTTTAACCAAACCTGCAGTAACCTGCCCTACAGTGTACCATCTGATAATAAGGCCTTTCTCCTCCCTGGACCATTGTCAGGGGATTCTCCTGAGGCCTTAATCCACATGGTGGACCCTGGGAATGGGTTTTGGGCTTTCACTGTCATCCATACCCTTCGGCAAACCGGATGTGCAGAATTTAGTCTGTGATACCGTTCCCTCCTCCAGATTTGGTTTTTATAATTTGAAGTTCTTGGATCACATAGGCTGATGTGCTTATTCCAGTTGCACGTAGATGATCAATGATCTTTTAATTCTTTGTTTTCATGAGCTATTTGAAACCACTTTGTATTGGAGGCATTCTTTGTTTTTGCTTTCATACTGTTGCTGGTTTTCTTGGCCTGTACCCTACCCACACTCCACCACAAGCACGCACACAGTGCCCCAAACTATTAGTGGTTTGGATGCCTACTAAGTGTTAGGATCACCTTCTGACATTTCTCTTGTACTTGGACTTCTTTCAGTATGCAACCGCCGTCTCACATCAGCATATATGACCCTAAATGTGCCATCACCTCACAGCCGCTTCTTTTGCGGAATCCCCTCCCTTGATTTGGGGCCAACTGAGATTACTAACCTAATTTGAAACCTGAGACTTATCTGTGATTCTTCTTTCCTTCTTTACCTTCATATTGTCTGAACTCTGTTCCTCTTTAAGAGCCTTCTCTGTCACCATGATCTTCTTTCTTACTGAAACTCTCTTACCTCTCAGCTCCATCCCCTCCCCTTTGACCTTTGAAATGGTTTTCCATCCAGGCTCCCAGACTTCTTCAGTCCACCCTACACCTTTTTGTAAGTTTATATTTCTTTATAAATATATTTATATTTCTTTATATATATTAAGAAATAAGAACATATATATATATCAACAGATAGCTGGTTGGGGCTGCTTGCCAGTTGTTAATTACCCTGGGATAGAATTTTAACTCGGGAGGGTAACTACCCCTTTCATTAGATAAGGTTCCACCCTACACTGTCAGCTGCCCTATCCTCCTTGGTTATTTTATACACACCAGGCCTCAGCCCATGGTGCCCTTTTTCATTGTACTGGCAGCCTCTGGGCTGCTTACAGGCAACTCCTATTGACACATGAATGTTACATAAATTTGCCCTCACTTTAAAATGATTGAGCCACCCCCCTACTCTTAACACATTCTTAATCATATTTGCCTTTACTTACTAACATGCAACTTTTTTAGCCATTGAAAAGCCTCCCACGTAAACTAGGACTAAATTAGGACTGTGTGCGCCTGTTCTGGCTCACATAGAAATTCCACTTAATAAGACACCAGAACACGTCTCTTTCACCACCCAGGGGCTGCATGTGCTGTGAAACCTCTTCCTCATCTCTCAAGACCCAGTTCATAATGTGACCACTATGAAGCCGTCCACCTGTCCATGACCAGCGCCCCCTGCCAGGCAGGTGAGGAGCTGCGCAGAGCTCCCAGGACACAGCTGGAGAGCAGCTCCTCCTCGAATGTTTCTCAGCCATCCGTTGCTTACTTCTGTGATGGAATCTTCTACCAAATTGCAAGGGCTGGTGGTCGTGGAACATATTTTCATCATGTTTGTGATTTCCTAATGCCTTACAAATAATAAGCGTTTAGTTTGGGGTTTTTTCCCTACATGTATCAGACATTTTTAGGAGCCCTAGAGTGTGGCACAATGGATAAAACACTTGGCTGCTAACCAAGACATCAACATTCCAGACCCACCAGCCACTCCTTGGGAAGAAGATGTGGTTTTCTGCTTACAAGAAAATGTACAGCCTTGGCCATCCTATAGGACAGTTCTCCTCTGTCCCAAGGGTCACTATGAGTCGGAATTGGTTTGACCACATTGGATTTGGTTTTGGGTTAAGTGAGTGATGTTTTTACAATCCTTCCATGTCAACGCTTTTTCCTGGTTCCTCTGAGCGTGAGCTTCAAAGCCAATTTACAGATCATAGATCACTCTTTCCATGCCATGTGTTTGTCCAAAATGATATTGTGCAGTTCTGTCCCCATGTTGTCAGATGTAATTCTGAGCAGGAGCTTTGCAAAACGAAGACCATCTCAGCCAGAATGGCATGCATGTTGCCCTTATTGAAATCATGTAGAAGTTTTGAGGATCAACCCACAGGAAATGAATAAATAATTTTTGGCAGTTGGTTTGATAGAACAATATTGTATTTGAGTAAACTCTGTTTTGTTCTGTTTTAACATTAAGTTAGATGACTTTACAGACGAGCCTGATAGAAGAATTTATATAATCAGAGCCACTGAGCAATGTAAGTCTCGAGTCCCCCAATTGTTTTCAGAATCCATGTTCTAAACCACCGTGCTGTATTGGCCGAATAATTCCAAGCAGACCTCTAAATGACATACACGTTTTATGACTTTCTGATCTTGTCAAGGGGCCTGCTTTGCCGCTTGCGTTGCCCTTGTTATTTTGACACAGACCTGCCTGGAAGCACTTGCTCCAGTTCAGTTCATCTCAAAGCCTGTTACAACTGAGTCTTGTGGTTCTCTAATGAATAGTTTCACATATAAAAAATAATCAAGGAGCTTATCTGTAAATTCAAATCGTTTAAAGTTGAGGGGCAACTGCAGGGGCAGAGTTCTTGAACAGCTTAGTCCCTGAGCCTGGAATCGAGGGAATAAATTGGTGATGCTTTTGTTATCTAAAATGATTAACCATGATTCTTCCAGTTAGATTCATTCTGTAACATTTAGTTGTGTATTTTATTACTTTCATTACTAAGTATATTTGAGGGGAGAGGGCTAAACATACAAATAACGTTGATGATAAAAATAACCTGGAGGATATGTTTACTCAGTTATTTTCCCCAGTAGTTTCTGGTGTCATCTTTTGCACATGAATTCCTGAGTACTGTTGATAAGGTAATTCCTGGGTAAGAGGTCCCAGTGACGATATCATCTAGCAGAATGTGGCTTTTATAGAATGGGCTTGCAGACTCGTGATGGGCCCTTCCCCTCTGTTCTTCAGGACATGGTGAACAGAAGAATCGCAATGGACATGATTCTCAAGATGGCAGACTCCCAGCGCTTCAGACAATTTATCTTGCTCACTCCTCAAAGTATGAGGTAATGTTTTTAAGTGCTTCATTAAAAACTTCCATCAGGTATATATAAAAAGGAAAAATATTTTAAAATCTTAATTTCATGAACACAGATGTATAAACGGGCAATACAGAAACACATAGCAGCCTTTGTGTTATTTCAGGAAATACAAGGTGATTTTGCCTTTCGTAGATGTTTAGAATTTGCTCCTGTTCTCTCTCCCCCATACTAAAGCAAGTTAACTTGACATGATTATTGATGTGTTACTGGTCCTATTTTGAGTCTGTAATTCTGAGGTTATTGTGACCAATTACTATAACTAGCGTTTGATTTAAAGAAATAACTCTGTTTTTCTAGTCTTGATTCTTTCTGGGTGGATTATAAGCATTAGTGTTTCTAAATAAGAAGCTTGACTGGTGTCTGCGAGCATTTACAGAATGGCAACGGGGTGTCGGGTGCGGTGCAGCTTAGAGCTGCTCTTCCCTTTCCACAGCGGCCCCTGGGTTACACAGGCACCTTTGTGATGGGAATGATCAGTAACAGCTTCTTGGTTAGATAAGAAGAGGAATTAAGAGAGTTACATATATGTATAGAGCTCTTTTTATTTCTTTTGTGTGTGTGTACTAAAAAATCCATGACATTTAACAACAAGAAGTTAATTATTTTTAAATGCAAACCTATGATTTTCATATTACAAATTGTATCTCTCTTAAAACTTCAGGCATTGATCTCTCTGTTAGATTGCAGCCATTTTGATATATATATATATTCATAGGGCAGAATTAGAATATTCTTTCATAGGAAAACTTTTTTATGGAAAATGTAGTAATTAATTTTGTTTCCTCCAGCTCACTTCCTTCAAGTAAACTGATTCGAATTCTTCGGATGTCTGATCCTGAAAGAGGACAGAGTATTTTGCCTTTCCGGCCCATAACTCAGGAGGAAGAAGACGATTGAGGATGATTTGTAACTTCATATGCCATGTCTTCATGGCTAAAGATTTGTAAAGGGAAAAAAACAAAATGTAATTGAAGATATAGCTAAAAGAAAGGAAGCCTCTCCTTATCTGAGCACAGGAAGATATGTCTGTAAGCCTAGAAACCTAACTATAACCAGCACTTTTCAATTACTGTCACTTTACTTTGAGAACATCACCTTCATAGTCCTGGTTTTAAATCTTTGTAATTTTTTTTTTTAACCATCTGTTTTTATAGATTCTTTTTCAGAAGTAAAATTTGTACATATGTGCATATCTGTTTAGTTTGGTTTCATTTCTACAGTGTTTTATAAGAATTAAAATAAAAACTTGTGCCCCTGATGATCTTTGTTTGTCTTCTACATAATATTGCATTCTATCGTGAAGTTATGGAAACAGATAAAGGTAGAGAATTCTGTCCGTGGGGACAGAGCTTGGGGGGAAGGTCTGTGAGCAAAGACCAGGTTAATGACGGAGAGAACCTACACATGACTTATATGACAATTTTCTCCCATTTTCTAAGAATTCATATGCCTTAGACAAAATTACCACTTACAGATAATATTTAAACTATACCTTGATTTGAAATGAATCTTAAATGCAGTTTCATGAAACAGAACATCAGAAGACTATTATAGGGAGCTGAGGAGAAGCATTGCCAACTGCATGGCACAATCACTCTCGCTTCCTTGACGATCCAGCACCCAGGTAGATGTCCGGGACCCGGATCAGAACTGGACGAGGATGCCGCTTCCCCCTGACTCAGGCGTGCCCACCTGGTTTAGGATCCCCCAGTTTGTAGTGCAGGAACTCGGGCTGAGGGGCAGCTGAGAACAGGGCACAGGTCACAGGAACTCTGAAGACCTAGGGGTGGGGGTGGGGGGAGGCAGAGGCTTAGCTTCACTTGTCACAAAGCAGTAAGGTAGCCAGTGGTGGCAGGAGTTCAGTGACAAGCTGTTGATTGTGAACTGAAACCATCCTGCTTTCAAAGGGCTTAAGAAGTAAGTGTCCAAGAGCAATGAAATACCCAATTGTGTAACAAGTGGTATTTATGAACATTGTTTAGAGACTATGAATGAGACTGCTGCCTGTATTCTCTATTATTTGAAACCAGGATTAGTGGTGAACGTAAAGGAGTATCCAACAAAGAGGTATTCCCTCAATTGCTAGGAGTAAGTGTTAGAAAGAATATTGATGAAACCGAAGGAGGCAGTATTTTAACAAAGTCTTTTCAGAGCTGGGAATTTGTAGAGTTAAAAGGTTTTGTTTTAGGTGGGAGCAGGAAGGTCTGACTTGTCATTTGGCAGAGTAAGGAAAGATGTTCAAAAACATGCTTTCTAATTTGAAAATACACAGAAGGAGAAAAACATGACCGTTTTTAACACACACCCCACTGACTTTTAAGTTATATTCCCAGGTCATTTGTATCAAAACTACTTAAAAATGTGTGTGGTTTTTCAAATACACTAACTGGAACATAGAAAACGCATCAACGTAGTCATTTCGCTGTCCGGGCTTTTGTGACAGTGCTGGCGTTGTCAGTAATGCAGAGTAAGAAGTGTGGCCTCAGGAGCCCACGGCCCCTATTGAATGGGAAGGCCTCCTCCCTGTGCTTCGATTTTAACTTTCAGAAGCAAAGAAACTCTTCATTTAATATTCTAATGCGTAGTAACAATTAGAATAAAATAAAAGTAATTATCCTTTACAAATTTGTATCACTTACAAAGAACAGGCTCTAGACATCCAAAGGTCATGCTTTATGAATTGGGGGAGGTAGGAGCTAGAGGTCACCTCTGCACCCGGACTGCCTAGATCACACAGTAACGTCTCCAGTCCCCGGCTTTTTATCGGTGTAGCTACAGCTGCATTGAATCATGAAGTCCAAGAAAACATGCCAGAGTTCTTTGAACTCTTCTTTTTAAAAATCATTTCATTAGGGGCTCGTACAACTCTTAGCACAATCCATCTGATGTTCTTGCGGTTAGCAGTTCCACAGTGATCCCACAGTGCCACCAGAGCTGCTTTCTTTGAACTCTTAAACTCTTCCCGCCTTAAATGGGGGTGGTGGTGGTGGAAATGATTAAGTAATAGCAACATGGCAGAGGCGAGGAGTTTTAGTAAACTAAAATCAAACGGTGTATTTACCCAAACTGACAACAGGCGCTAATGATTCAGGCATTGTCTTCTTTTTAAAATATTTTCCAAGTTTCTACATCTTCAATCCTGTAATACTCCCCTCCCCCTTTTTTTTTGGACATGGCTTTAAAACATGTGACTGAATTGTTTATAGCAGGAGAGAACAACACTTAAATTCTGTGTAAGAAACTTGTAAGGACAAGAAATTTGTAAGGACAAATGAGACGCAGGAAGGAAGGTGGAGAGTTTATATCATGTAAAGACAATAAGCCCGATTTACGATGACCGTGAATATGGCAAGGATCATGCAGATGGTAAGAAAGTAGACAACTTTTTTTTGGTTCTATGTAAAGTTCCCACGGTCAGAGGCAACTGACTGCAGAGAAGCTTGTTCTGACCACCCAATGGCTTTCAGGAGAACTGGCCTGGAATTTACAGTCCTTAAACAGTTCCTAATGTTTCTGGAGGAGCCCTAGTGGAATAGCGCTTACTCATTGGACTGCAGTGCTCAAGGTTGAAACTGCCAGCTAGCTCCAAGGAGAACGATTGGGCTTTCTGCTCCGGAAAGAGTTCCAGTCCCGTAAACTCACAAAGGCAGCTCTATGCGTGCACTGCCCAAAGGGTTCCTGTGAATCAGCGTCAGCTCTGTCACAGTAGGTTTTTAACGTTTCATAACTTGAGCAACCGTATGAGTTGGAGTGGTATCAAAATTATATTGAGCAGGGAAAGTTTAAAGAGTGGTAGAGTGTAACGTGTGTATGAATTAGTTGTTTCTTTGAGTCAGAACGAGCACTTTCTTAATAAATGTTATATACCCACTCTCCTCAAATCCATTTTCCCTCTTGGTGCTTCCCCTACCTCCCCATAGGGAGACCTCTGCTCCACAGTCTTCAGGAGCTAGCTTTTGCAAATGGAGCACCAGGCCGTTCTTCTGAAGGTAATATTGGTAAAAGCCTATTACATCTTGGCCATGGCATCTGTAAAGATTTCAGGGGAACTAAAGGCAGCATGAGAATATTTGCTATATAATCATAGCAAGATTTTTTTGTGTGTGTACCTAATTTCCCTTCAGTGTATGAATGTGGCGATTACATCAGAACAATTAGATTCTGCCACATTGATAGCATTAGGAATATACGGCAGTGAGCAATATCATCTTCCCTCAAGTAGCTTATAGTCAAGTTGCTCATTGACTTTCAAGACGATTTTGACTCACAGTTCCTCTGGGTGGGTTGGAATTTCCAGTCTTTTCAGCAAGCAGTGGAAACAATACCAGAGCATGTGCGCCACACAGTGGTACCCTAAAATCCACCATCCTAAGATGGAGGTAAGGAGGCAGACAACCACCCTGTATGATTTCAGGTCCTGGGGATTGCTTTGAAGACCAAAGCAGGGTAAGCAGTTGAGGCTGGAGAGGAAGACTCCAGAGTGGAGACCTGAAACAATCGAGAAGAAGCGGTGGGGAGTTAGGTAGGGACTGGAGTCCTGGCAGCAGAAAGGAGTGCACGGGCCTCGAGGTAAGAACAAACTGTCCAAGAACCGTAAGGCCAGTGCTTATCAGTTGAGCGAGCAAAAGGGAACGAACATGGGTAGGAGATAGGCCCAAAGACAGAAGATGCAGGACCATATGGGTCCCTAAAAGTAGGGAAGCAGGTTTCAGACTTTGTCTGATGCACGCTTAGAAAGTAGTCCCTGTGGCCGCTGTGCTGCTCCATCGGTGCGTGGGCAGATAACGTGAGTACGGCCTTTGCAGTGGTCCTGTATCAGGCCAGGGTGATGTAGGACTGGAGTACAAGCCCAGCAGAACTGCTGATGATCATTCTTGTGAGAGGAATCCAGGCTAACAAAGGATGCTGGGTCCTAATACACTGGATGGTGTTATTGAGAGAGATGGGGTAAAGATGCTGATTGGAGTGGTGGGGGTGGGGAGGAGGGGCTGGAACAGCTCGGGTTTGAAATGCAACATTTCAGATGCCTGTCTGGACCTCCTCGGGAAAATGATGAATTAAAAAAAACCTTTACATGGGTGAGTGTAAGCACTTGAAAAAGTTAAGAGTCTAGAGATCAAGATCTCGCCTACTGAAGGCCGGGAGAAATCCAAATTGCATGTCTGAAATATTTTGGAGACTTGATTGCTTCAAGAAATTTGCTAAGGGAAAGAGCATTTTATTTAGAAACTTAATTGACTGTCAGTTTCTGCTCTATCTCTACACATGATTACCTATCAGGCTCTCTGAAGCTATCTATTTTAAGTCTTTCAGAACTTTCTTGACATGGTTTCTAACAATATGGAGAAAATACTCATCTGGCTGCCTTAACAAAGTTGATAATATTCTTCCAGAGACTGCACTGCTGAATAAGTGAGTCACAGGAGAAATGAAGCCCTGGTGGCTTAGTGGTTCCGCTTTGGGCTGGTAACTGCAAGGTCAACAGTTTGAAACCACCAGCCACTCAGCAGAAGAATGACCAGACTTATTCCTGTAAGGTGTACAGTTTTGGAAACTCATAAAGGCAGTTCCATCCTGTCCTACAGGGGCACTATGAGTCAGAAGTGATCCAATGGCAGTGATTTTAAAGCAACATGATTCCCTGTATAGAATACAATTTCTTTAAGAACTGAAACAGAATTTCAGAACTTAAAAATGCAGAAAGAGAAAAAAAAATGCAGAAAGAGTTGAGACTAAGATGTGTCGGCAGTTTTCCTTCAGAAGAGCCACACCAAAACCAAACCCTACCATCCACTTGATTCTAACTACCCAATAGGACAGGGTAGAACTGCCCCTGTGGATTTCTAAGACTAACTCATGAGTAGAAAGCCTTGTCATTCTCCTGAGAAGCTGCTCGGTGGTTTCAAATCACTGACTTTGGGGTTAGCCCAACACAAAACCACTAAGCCATCTGGGCTCACTGCTTCCGAGTTGACTCTGGCCCTACAGGACAGGGTAGAACTGCTATGGGTTTCCGAGACTGTAACACTTTACAGGAGTAGAAAGCCCAACCTTTCTCCTGCGGAGCAGCTGGTGGTTTCAAACTGGTGACCTTGTAGCTAGCAGCCCAACTCATAACCCCTACAACACCAGAGCCAGGGCTCCTCAGTGGACGGGAGACAACCGATTAACTCGACCAACCAAAAAGCGGCTGAGTAAGTTTGAACCAGTGGTCGTATGTATGATTCCTGGATGCCTGCTCTCTGCAGAGATCACTAT